GCCTGTAATTCCGGCTACTTGGAAGGCTGAGGCGGAAGGATCGCCAGAGCCCAGCAGGTCGAGGCCACGGTGGCCAGGAGCAGCCACTGCACTCCAGTCTGGGCGACAGAGTGAGACTCCAACTAAAAAAAAGAACAGGGAAGCAGATAGGCTGGCCAGAAGTGACAGCGTATTCAGGAGATTGTTGGGAAATGTAATGGTTATCCAGATAAGAGAGGTAGGTAACAGTGTGAGAAATGGAGGGCAATGTGACAGTTATTTAGAAGGCAAGTTCAGCAGGACTCAATGACTGACTGGATTCAGGTGATGGAAGAAAGGGGCGGAAACAAGAGCATGCGGGGAGAGGCTGCGCAGGGGAGCTACAAGCAGCAGCTATGCTTCTAGACAGTGCTGATGTTGGCATAGACGGCTCCTCCTGCTCCCACAATCTGCTGTATGAACCCCTACTCCTATACTTACACCACTTGGTGTGACGACCATCTCCAATCTACCAGCCTTTCCTCTAGCTGCAGGCTGAGTACCCCAGGGTTCAGCTTTACCTCCCTAAGGGCCAGGACAGTTCCAGGCCCAAGGTGGTACTTGGTACACACAATTACCCTAACTCATCCCTCAGGGGCCCTGGGAGTCTACAGAAAGAAGGAGGCTTTGATGGAAAGAAGGAAAACAATACAGGCCTAGTCTGGGCACAAAACCAGGTGGCTCTGTGCCCAGTGCAGGTAGACACAGAATGTGGAGAAGACAAACCCCTCAGACCATCCCACTTCCTCAGTCAGAACAGTCCTGTTCTCTCTGAGCTCCTGTTCTTCACGGGTGAAATGGTGAGAATATCTTCTTTACATTATTATTACAAGGATCAAGTGAAATAATTAATGTAAAGTGGTTGACATAGGACCTGGCAGCACATGTAAGTGCTCGATACATGCTAATTACTTCTGTTTATTGTTTGCTCTGATTCCACTTGCTCCAAACCACATGATCATTAATCTGGTTTGCCAGGTACCCTCATGGCAGAAACCCAGGTAATCTCTAGTGAGAGACATATCCATTCCAGATCACAGGAGGGATGTCCCATGGAACGTTCTACTTAATAGCACTAAGGCCTGTTGGTTACCTCAGGGAAAGTCCACCTCTTGTGAACCAGAAGTTCCCCAATGACACTGCAGATGTCTGAGGATGACAACGTTGTCTAGGGTCCTTTTCCACACACCTGCTGTCACTCACCAGCTCAAGGCTTTGTGGTTTCCCAAGAGAATATGCTCATATTCATGGCTTATTGTATTCTGGTGCTCACACACATCTGAATGTATTCCTTGTCCCTCCTCAGGAAGAGGTAGGCCCCTTCCCATTAGACAGAGACCCAGAGAGCTGGCAGAAGCTGCTCAGTTCTACATAGTTCTGAAGGCACTGAGCAAGGACTGCTAGTCACCAATTCTATGCCCCAGGCTTTCCAACTCATCCCTGCCAACCACCTCTAAGTCACCCTCATCCTCCAGGAATCATTTTCGTGAAGCACACACACCACAACACTCAAACAGGACCCCTCTGGACAGGGGCACAGTGATGACTGCTACATCCCAATCCCCTGGCCTTACAGCCACTTCCTCTGTTCCTGGAGGCTGTGGGCAGGGCTAGGACAATGACGCCACTAGGCCCAGGAGCCTCTAGGGCATCCCTATCCTGACTCTTGTCACAGTAAACCTCACCCTAAAAAGGTCTGATTTACAGAATCAATGAGCTCATAAGCAGCCCTGGGCACAGTATGTCCATAAATAAAACTGCATTTTAAATGTACCAGGAAATTACTATGTTAAAAGAATTCTACCACTACTCTTTTTAGAAAGTGAAAAATTCTTTTGTAAATAGAATCATCACTCCCTAATTTGTCTTTTGTTTAGCTCTGAACACATTTAGCTTAAAGGTTCTCTTTTTCTGTACTGCTCCTTTGGTTCCTCAGTTAGTAAGTTTCACATGTGTGCGGGACTTTAAATGCTCCAAGATACTTTAGGTTGGTCCACTTACCCTATACAGTGGAGAGGTCAGATGGGGTTTAAGACCAGGTAGGTGAGCAGCTGGTCCCTGGGGTTGGACCCACCTTGTTTTGCCCCACCCTGCACTCTCTGAGGCTCTGGGTCCAGCTTCAGGCCTCTGCCACATCCATCCATCCTTTCCCCCACTCTTCCACGCACCAGCCCTACCCTTTCCCAAGGATACAGCGTAGCCAGCAGGCGCCCAGTGGTGCGGCAGAAGGGGAACAAGGACCCCAAATCCAGTCACAGCGAAGAAGAGATATAGCAGCCAGGCCACAAACTGGAGCGGGTGAGGGGGCCAGCTCCACCCATTCCGGCGGGACCGCTGGCCCTGTAGCTCTGGGGAGGGTCTGCTGGTCTGAGCAGGCGCCGTCCACACATTCTTCTCAGGGGCTGTCTTGTTGGAGGGCTTGCTGCAGATGTTCATCTCCAGAGGGAGAAAGCATAGAGACAGCATTAGCCTGAGGAGGCCAGGCTGGAGCCCAGAGCCCCATGCCTGCAGCCAGGTTTTAGTAGGGCAGGAAACAGGCTAGGACATGAAACTGACTCCCAGCTACTCAGCAGGGGACCCTGGGGTTCTAGAACGACAGAGACAGGCAGTGGGGAGGGGGCGGGGAGGGTAGTAGTGGGCTGCTGTCTCAAAGCCCCAGAGCAAACCCTGGCCCCAGCCTGGCCAGAATAAGGTAGGAGAGTCCAGGGTTTGTTCAGGACAGTGTGGCTGCCTGTTACTCAAAGTGCTCTGTCTCCACAGCCATCAGAGTTAAGCCCAATGTTCTCATCTGGTAACAATATCAGCCTGGGGCCAGAGTGATGAGAACACATGCTGATTCTGTTAGGATTAGTCACCTCCATCCTGAGGTCCAAATGCAAGTGTCAGAGAGGGCCCCCTTAGCCTTTGCTAAGGGAAATAGGGAATGGGGGTGTTCACAAAAGGGATCTGGTCTCTGCCCCTTGGCAGACCCAGTATTCCTTTAGGACTGGGGGACCCTGAAGCGCTGCTCCACACCTCAGAAGGGCTACCTGAGGTTCTTGGCTGGGGAGGAGCCAGCATGAGAGAGAAAGAGAAAAGAGAAGAGAGAAGAGAGAGATTCCTCTTTGGTTCCTTCCAGCAGCAGAAATGACCACATTTCTCTAAGGAAATCTGGACCTGGTGTACAGATTTACACAGAAAGGTGAACTAAAGCCCTTTGACTCAGAGCCAGACAACCAGATGGCAGCAGCCCCTTCACCTCCACCCCTCCATCCTCTAGCTTATAAGCTGGCCTAGTGGCCAGAGACAGATGCAGGGCAGGAAGGAGTGGGTTTGTTGCCACCTGAGGAGGACCCTCACCCCAGTATCTTCTGAGTCCAAGGTGGAAGTAAAGCCCAAGAAGACAGCACCACACCTGGAGAGACAGACCAACTCTGAATTCGAGTGGGAAGGCCGGGAGCTGGGGATAATACCCTGGTAGCTGAACTCTTTTCAGGAGTCCCTGCCAGTGGGCCAGGAAATTTGACTAAGCAGTGTGGCATACCTCACCTTGGCACATCTGCCTGGAGTGCCTTTCTCACTTTTCAGCGTGACAAAAATAAGACTTGATATTCAGAGCCAACTCCACGTCCCCTCATCCAGAAAGCCTTCCCTGATGCCTCAAGTGGAGAAAGGGGGCCCTTGTGCTCAGTTGTTATCAGGCAAGTCACTTTGCCATTTGGAACACTTTGCCATCTCCATCTCTGCCCCCCATTTATGACAGGTTCCTCCAAAGGTACAAATGTGCTGTGATTCATTCACCTATGTCCCTTCCCCCAAGCACCCAGAACTGTACCTTGTACATAGTAAATGCTCAGTAAATGTTTGCTGACTTGAAAACATCTGAAATAAAAAGAAATGTGGGCATGGTAAATGGTGTGGAATCCTGGTCTCCCCAAAGCCACCTGGCCCGCTCTGCCCTACCTTCAATCCTCCCAGCCCTGCCCCCATTCTGCACTCATATCTCTCCCAGTCCAGCTCCTTCTGCTGACTGGCTATCACCCCAACTGCCAGCATTCACTCTTAGCCACTGTGCCCTTCAGCCCACCTGTGACTCAGAGCCTTCTGCAAGCCAAGGCTGGCATTACTTGCAGTCACCTCTGAGTTGTCTCATCTCAAAGCTAAATACAGTGACCTTAGTTTTCTCTCAGGGATTCAATTGGAATCCTCTGGTCACTTACCTTGTCTTCAATAAGAAGCCACAAAAGGATACAAAAAAAGCCCCAGCTTTGGAGGAAACAGATCTAGGTTCAACTCTTAGCTCTGCACTTACTAACTCAGTGGCCTGAGTTTCCTCATCTGAAAAATGGGGATAAGGATACCTCCCTAGGGGAATGTACAGATATCAGTGACACTCTGTGTAAATCCTTGACACAGAAATACTGGCTGAATGGTAGAAGTTATGGTTTGTCTTCATATCTCTAGACTGAGGCTATTACATCTGATAGTCTGTGAATTTTAGTCTAGAATGATGGAGCTTGTTGAAGTTGCTTTCTTAAGTCAGTGGTTCTAAGGAACATAATGTTATAAGAGCTATGCCACTGGGTCTTCATTCTAATCTTGTCACCTCCAGTCAAAGGTGACAAAGAACAAAAAAGCTGGCATCACTTTCTTTTGACTGTCCCCAGAGGCAGCAAATCTTTGTCCTTGATCTTTGGAAACAGGCTGGGTGTGGTGGCTCATGCCTATAATCCCAGCACTTTGGGAGACTGAGACAGAAGAATCACTTGAGGTCAGGAGTTCAAGACCAGTCTAGGCAACATAGCAAAACTCTGTCTCTACAAAAAATATAAATTAGATCCTAGCACTTTGGGAGGCTTACATAGAAAGACGGCTTTAGCCCATCAAGACCAGCCTGGGCAACATAGTAAGACCTGGTCTCCACAAAAAATTTAAAAAATTAGCCAGGCATGGGAGCACACACCTGTATTCCTAGCTACTAGGGAAGTTGAAGAGGGAGGCTTGCTTGAGCCTAGGAGATTGAGGCTGCAGTGAGCTATAATCCTGCCACCACACTCAAGTCTGGGCGACAGAGTGACACCCCAACTCAAAAAATAATAATAATAAATAAAAATTTGCCAGGTAGAGTGGTGCATGTTTGTAGTCCCAGTTGCTTTGGAGCCTGGAGCAGGAAGATCACCTGAACACAGAAACTGGAGGTAGCGGTGAACTATGATCATGCCACTGCACTCAAGCTTATGCAACATAGCAAAACTCTGCCTTAAAAAAATAATAAAAGAAAGAAAAAAATGAAAGGAAAAGAAGATTTTTGGAAACAAAAGTCATCAGGTCAAGCCCTGTGAATACACGAGCTAAATGGTTCTGCTCTGCAGTAAATCCCTGTGGTTTGCACAGAGGTCCTCCAATGGCACCATCACCAGGGCAACTACTTTGAAAGGAATTCCTGAATTTAGATCTCTAAGCTCTGGCTTTCCCTTTGCCATTCCCAAATCTGAACAGCTCTACACCTTGAGAGAGTTTCCAAAGAGAGAAACAGAGGCACATAGCTGATACTGCCTCACTGCAAGCACCCCCAGTGCTGCTACATCCCAGGCCCTAAGGCAGAAGAGTCACCATATGAGGCCAGGGGCCTGCCACAAACAGTCTTAGGAGTGGCTCTAATTCCAAATCAGGATACCCTTGGCCCAGAGAGGTACCACTTGTCAGACACTATGGATGTGGGGAGGGTGCTGTTTGGCAGAACCCCCTGGCAGCAGCAGCATTCCAGAATAGACACCCAAGCTGGCCAGGAGGCATGCTGGCCTGCCCCATAAGCCTGGGACAGCCAACTCTTAACTGATGACATTTTCTCGTGTGGAGTTGGTGGCCACAAATTCTTTTGGCCCAAAAAATTTTGATTAAAAGGGCTGGGAGGTTGGAAACAATCCAAGATTGGGCCCCAAGGCCCACAGATGAGACCAAGTACTGTCACCAGATCCCAGGCTTCTCTGACTGTTCCTCCCCTCTCAGCACTTCTCTAAGAGACTGGATTGAAAGTTGTATGACTCTGCTCCCCAAAAACATGGCCAACTGGCACACTCAGACCTTGGCCAATCAGTGCTTACTGGGACTCAACCCCTTGTACACACTGAGAATGTAAACATAGATGAGGTCAGGCACCTGCCCTCAGGGGCTACATCTCTGGGGGCCCAGAAAGATTCAAACAGACATCATGACAGCAAGTGAATGGGTACTTTGGCAGCCCATGCAAGGGCCAGTCATTCAGTGTGAAAGAACACAAAATGGACAGGTTGGTGGGGTAGGGGAAGCAGAAACCAGTGAGAGATGAACCCTGAGGAGATTAGATCACAGGTGGTCTTAGCGGGGGCCAGATGAGGAAGCTTGGGCACTGCTGAAAGGAAGCTTAAGGCAGGAGATTAACATAATGGTGGGTTTTTTTTTTTTATTGCTTTCTAGCAACAGTGGGAAGGGGGGCACGGGGTGGGGGGGTGACACCACAGCAAGCTGGCCCATGGAGGCCAGCAGCCCTGCAGCCCTGTGCTTTGGGAGGAGTTGGTCAGGAGGTGGAGGGCAAGCCCACAAGCTTCCCACTACCCACCCAGCACCTCCCTGCCCACCTGGCACACCCAATTGCATCTTTGGTGGCTGAGAGGTAAATGGGTCTCAGCAAAACATTCTTAATGTAACTTCTGCTTCCCCAGACAATCCATAGTTAGGCTGGCGGGAATAAAGGGAAGACAAAAGTGAGGGGGTCCAAGAAGGGTTATGCCACAGATAGGTGCCACCTTGGTAAGCCAAGGATCCACCCCCATCTGAGGCAGGAGGGAGAGGCTGTGCAGGCCCCTCCCTTGTCCCCTACAAGGTGAAGGCAATTGCCAGGACAGCAATATTCTATTCATGTTAACATTCACTTGCTAAAAGCCTTAAATAGTGTTTTCAAAATAAGGTTAGGCTACCTTGACTTATATGGTTAAATTCAAGGAAGGAACTTAACATTTTAAGTTCTCATTATAAACTCCAGAATAGCTGCATGAATGATCCACTTCCCTCCTGTCCACCTCTGCTCCCACCAGAAAAATATTTAGGAATACTCTTTTGAAATTTTTTGCATGGCAATGTCAAAGTAAGCACAGATGAAAAGTACTAGCCCTGGAGGGATGGTGGGCACCCCTGGATTCCTGCAAGGTGTCTGAGGACTTCAGAATCAACTCAATCACTAAAGAGGATTTGTCAGGGGAGACCAAGGAACTGGGAGGGCAGGGTGAAGGGGTCAGAGGAGAAGTGACAGGGCTGAAGCAGGGGCTTGGAGGGTCCTGAGGCACCAGTGGGGAGAGGCAGGTTGGACCAAGGGAAGAGGCCTAGGCCTAGAGATAGAGTAGTCTGCATTGCCACTCACAGATTGAGGACCCTGGGGGCAAATTTCATAGATCCATCTCTTTGGATCTCTTCTGTATACATCCTTCAAACAGCTGGAACGCAATTTAGCAATTGTATCAAACTTTAGAACACATATACTCTTTGGCCCAGACATTCCATTTCTAGGTAATTATCTTATACATATACTCACAAAATACACAAAGATTCATTGAAGCATTGTTTGTAATAATAAAGGACAAAAAGCTATAAACAAATGGTGACACACAATGGAATGCTATGCAATGGCAAAAACAAAGGATCAAAAAATATATACAGGGGATGAAATAATCTTTGATACACAGCTAGGTAAAAAAGCAAGATGTAGAACAGTTGTAGAGTGAGCTACCAAGTAAATAAAAACAAAAAGGAGACAGCCGGGCACGGTGGCTCAAGCCTGTAATCCCAGCACTTTGGGAGGTGGAGGTGAGAGGACTGACTGAGCTCAGGGGTTCGAGACCAGCCTGAGCAACATGGCAAGACTTCATCTCTACAATAAATCAAAAACTTAGCTGGGTGTGGTAGTGCATGCCTATATTTCCAGCTACTTGGTTTGAGACCAGTCTGGGCAACTTGGTCAGACTTCATCTCTACAATAAATCAAAAAATTAGCCAGGCATGGTGGCACATGCCTGTGGTTCCAGCTACTTGGAAGGCAGAGGTGGAACGATCACCTGAACCCAGCAGGTTGAGGCTGCCACTGCCCTCCAGCCTGAGCAACAGAGTGAGACTCTGACTCAAAACAAAAACAAATGGGATAAACAGACATTTATTTTCCTACATGTACAGATTCTCTTTTAAAGGAAATGCAAGACAGCAAACACAGGGGCAGCCTCCAGGAAGGTCTAGTGATCCAAGGGCTATAAGACAGATTTGCATTACTGTGTAGTCCTTGGTACTGTTCAATTTTTTTTTTTTTTAAATCATGAGCATATACTACTTTTGAAAAAGAAAAAAAAATACATCAAATAATAAATAATTGAAGGTTGTCACCTTCTGCCCTCCTGGCCCCACTGGGCTGCCATGTGGACCAAATGCATCGTGTGACCCAGGGCCCTGTTACCACGCCAGAAAAACAAGGAATTTCTGCCTAACAGCCGTGCAAAAAGAGTACCTAGTTTTAGTGAAAGGCTTTCTCGCTCTTAAAAGCAATTCTGAGTCACAGCTACAGAACTGTGAGGAAGAGCCACAGAATTTCCTATGAGTCTTGTCAAAGCTGGAATCAGACACCCATACAGCACAACTGAAGAGTTGCTGGGCAGGACCTTGTTTGTCCTCTGCCATTTGTCCTCTGCCCAGGCCAGTCGAGGTCCCAGAACCCAAAGGGAAGGTACACTCCACAGGAAAGTTTTGCTCCTAAGCATCTTTTCCTTTTGTTAGGGCATTTATGGTTTCTGTGTGAGACATTTTCTATCTATGGGTATTTCTAAATGAGTTTTCCATTTTTCCCCAGAACCTGCTTTTGAAATAATTTTCACTAAGACTTCACAGAAGCCCAATTTAACCACCAAAAGGGAGCTGGAAAGAAAACGCTTCACAGTGCACATTGCTTTACAGTGCAAAAAAGTTATTTATAAAAGATTTTTTGAATGAGCACTTTGTTTATTAAAATTTCCCACAGGTGCCAGAGAAGTCTTTGCCCTTACAATTCTGAGAAGTGGCTATAGTTCAACTAAGGGATACACATCACACAACTCCCAGGAAATAAACTGGAACTTCAAGCTTTTCTCCAAGAATTCTCCAGTCGTTGGTCTCAGATGTGGCTGGGCCCTGACTTTTTCTCTTATAAACAACATGCAGAAGTCTGATGCTATGACAAGAGAAGCTTGAAACCTCAATCAGTCCTGAGGTGATGTGGTCTGCAGACATTTTCTGTGCCATTCTCCTCCTGAAACAACCACTGCAAACTGTTTGGGATCCAAGTTAAGCCAAAGAAAGGGGACAAGAAGAGGGAGCAACAAAGAGCAGAAACAAGGCAATGAAGGGAAGTAAGGGTTGCTGATTTTAACCAGGAAATCAGCTCATATGATTGCCAGGAGTCAGCCATGGGGAACACCCACCAAGAAACAGTTGTTAAGAACAAAGTGGTGACGGAACAAAACAAGAAAAACAAAACAGAAAAAGAAAAAATATAGCTAATTAGGCACTACTATTGCTTGTATTGCATCTCATGGTGATTATCTGTTTACAAACTCATCTCCCACAGTGAACCACCAGTTCCACCAAAGCAGGGACCACCCCTCACACATGTCTGAATCCAGACCTCTTTCAGTAAAGGAAATTAAGCCACTTACCATCTCTGCTGCCATCACCCTAATCCAAGCCTCCAGCATTGCTCTCCTACAGTATTGCAACGATAATAGCCAAAGCTAGCATTTAGAGGGCACTTATTCTGGGCCAGACGCTGCTTTAAGTGCTTCAGTGGAATTCACTTCCATAAGGCTCTACCTCGGTCCTATCATTTCAAACTGTTCTCATAGACCTCTTTTGTCACTGATCTCAGATGTGGCTGGCCCCTCACTTTCTCATAAACAAAATGTAGAACAACATCTCCCTTTCATGGATGAGGACACTGAGGCTCAGAGAGACTAAGTAGTTCTATGAAGCACAGCTAGATTGGCAAAACTAGGCCCTTGGCTGACTTCCCTATGTGTCTTGTCACAGCCACACTGCCCACAGCAAAGTGAACTTTTCAGAACTTGAGACTCATCACAACTCTTCAACGGTTTTCTTGATTCAATAGGATAAAGTTGAAACACTCATCCTGCGTGCCTCCACAGCTCCTTTCATCCTTTCTTTCTGTTCCATAATATTACTCTGCTCTGCTGCCTCCAGACATTTGCATTTGTTTTTCCCTCTTCCAGAAACACTCTTTCTCTGCTTACATTGCTGGCTCCTTTCCAATCTTCAGGTCTTAGCTTAAAAGTTACCTTTTTCTTTTTCTTTTTCTTTTTTTTTTTTTTTTGAGTTGGTGTCTCACTTTGTTGCCCAGGCTGGAGTGCAGTGGCACGGCCACTGCAGCCTCGACCTACTGGGCTCAGGTAATCCTTCCGCCTCAGCCTTCCAAGTGGCTGGAACCACAGGCATGTGCCACCGCGCCCAGTTAATATTTTGATTTATTGTAGAGACGAGGTCTCGCCATATTGCTCAGGCTGGTCTCGAACCCCTGAACTCAGGCAATCCTCTCACCTCCGCCTCCCAAAGTGCTGGGATTACAGGCTTGAGCCACCGCACCGGGCTAAAAGTCATCTTTTAAGGCAGACCCTCCGTGACCAAACCCTTCGTTCCACAACCACTCCACGTAACCCGACCTGAAATTACTTTAGTCATGTGTCTAGCACCTGCTCCCCACCCCACTTCCTGAATACTCTATGGGTTCTAGGGACCAGCCGCATCTGTTCCGAGGCTTCTGTGCCCTCTCCTGGCTCAGAGCCCGGCACACAGTAGGTGCTCAATACAGTTCTGTGAACTTGGTAAGTGCCAGAAGGAAGCCCCGCGCTCTGCCGGGTCCCTGATGCTTAGGCCGTGGGGCTCCAGGCCGAGGCTCCAGGCCGAGGCAGCAGCCGCGACCCGGTGGCTTAGGCCAGACTCGAGGTGAGAAACCGGAGACTCCTCACCTGCGCGTCGCGGCGGCTGTGTCAGATCGGTCCAATCAAGGTCAGCCAGCGGTTCAGCGCCCTCGCGGGCCGTCCACCCTTCCCGGGACAGCCGCGCTTCAGACCCTCGCGACATAGAAAGTCCCCGGGACCGGGTGGCAACGCGCCCCGGAGCGGGGACCCATCCCGAACGGAAACTGGGCCGGCTAGCCTTTCCGCTCCGGCTCGGGCTGGCTGGGCTGTGCCGCCAGGCCAAGCCGCGACGGGCTGGGCCTCGTCCGGCGCGGGGTCCGTTCCCCTAGCAACGGCGCGGCTACGGCGCCCCACAGCGGCCAAACCGCGCTGCGTTACTTCGCGCCGGTACCCCGGCTAGGGCGGGGCTTCCCAGGGACCCCCGTGGCGCCTCAGCCCGCATATTCCTGGTATTTTCTAACCTTTCTCCTAGAAAATCCATTTTCTACCACTCCTGATCCACAGTTTGTCTTCCCGAAATCCTAACGTGTCCCAAAGGCGCCTCCCTTCCAGTTTTTGTCCTGAAACCACCACTCAGGAGGACTCCCAGTCAACCTGCGCACTTCAATGAGATAATGTGCTGGACACTGGGCATTCCAAGGGGAGCATCCACGAGATCCCGACCAGGTAGCTTACAGGTAAAAGGAGGAAATAGATCTGGACAAATAAATAACATAAAAATGTATGTACCCAATAATATGACGTGTGAGGTATAAGAGCTTAAAATATGTAACACAAAATACCTCATTTCTTTATTGCCTTTAAATCAAACATAAATCCTACTGGGAGCCCCCACCTTCCAGGCTGATGGGAAAGTCAATCCTGGTCTCTCTGCAGGACTTTTCTTAGCCAGGTCATTCCAAAAGATTCATGATATCTCCCACAGGAAAAAAAAAAAAAAAAAACAACCAGAAAAAAAGAACCTCTGGTCATGGGGCTTTTCTTTTCTGGTACTAATTCCACAGCCATTGGCCCAGTCCTAAAAGATTTTCAGGTTTGGGCTCTGTGAGGTCATGCCTGTGGAGCACCCCCCACCCCCACGCCCCGGCTGCCAGGAACAGAAACCTGCTTCCTCTGTTCCAGGGCTGGCAGCCTCTCTTCCCTTTCTCTGTCTAGGAGACACCTCCCTGCTGGCCTGGCTTCCCTGAAAGCTCTCTCTGCTTCTCCTTGGGGACACTCAGAATGGATTCTCCCAGGAGCTCCGTCTTTCTCAAAAGACAATAAGAGTCTTTGTCTTCTGCCAGCTGTCTTATCCATATATCCAAGGCCCTAAAATGGTGAAAAGCTAGCTGCAACCTGGTGGTTCAGACAAGGCTCTGAGGTGAGAAACCCAGCAGGGACTCCTCACCTATGTATTGCAGCAGCTGTGCCAGATCGGAATGGGTAGATAGGGACAGAAAACATCCTTATCTCCAAAATGTCACATGCATACAATAAAAACAACTTAACTACTCCTGCTTTGTCACATGCCTGTTGTGTGGGTCCTTGTGTAAGTGACTTAGCCTCTCTATGACCTAAACTCTAGTTTTCAAGACTGATAAACTCAAACTCAATGCATAATAAATATCAATGCTATTCTGGTTTCAGAGTTACAAGATGATTCCTTAACTTTATCTGGAATTGGAGAACATAGGGCCAAACAGAGACAGTGATCCAGAGGATGAGACCATGCATGCCCATAATAAGGGGAGGGACCTGAAAGTCACAGCCTTCTAGACCTTGAATCCACTTGCCTCCAGGGAACTTCTCCTGAATGCATCCTGGGTGTCTTAGATGTTATAGTAGGTGATAATCTGAATAACAGTCGCCCAGAAATGTTCTCACCCTAAGCCCTGGAACCTGAGAATATGTTACCTGACATATCAAGAGGGATTTTGCAAATGAGATGAAGATATTGAGATGCGGAAGATTATCCTGGATTATCTGGGTAGATCTAATGTAGTCACAAAGGCCTTTATAAGAGGGAGAGAGGAGGAGCAGAGTGGAAGAAGGACATGTAACAATGGAGTAGAAGTCATATTTGAAGTCACTGTATTGCTAGCTTTAAGATGAAGGAAGAAGCCATGAACCAAGGAAGACAGGTAGCTTCTATACACTGGCAAGAAAACAGACTCTCCCAAGAGCCTCCAGAAGAAATCAACATTCTATCACCTTGACTTCAGCCCAGAGAGACCCATTTCCAACTTCTGACCTCCAAAACCATAAAGATAATAAATCTTGGCTGGGCATGGTGTCTCATGCCTATAATCCCAGCACTTTGTGAGACCAAGGTAAGGGGATTGTCTGAGCCCACAGGTTCGAGACCAGCCTGGGCAACTTAGCGAGATCTCATCTCTACAATAAATAAAAAAATTAGCTGGACGCAGTGGCACATACCTGTAATTCCAGCTACTTGGAAGGCTGAGGCAGAAGGATAACCTGAGTCCAGCAGGTCGAGGCTGCGGTGGCCGGGAGCGGCCACTGCACTCCCGTCTGGGCGACGGAGTGAGACTCCAACACACACACACACACACACACACACAATCTGTGGTAATTTGTTACGGCAGCAATAGGAAACGAATACAGTGAATCAAGTGCACTTACATCTAACCAACTGTTTTCAATTGAAGCAAAAATCCAAGTGACAATTCAGGTTCCCTTGACATCTTTGTGAGTGACTCCAGGCGAGGCTCTCTGAAAGGTGGACTCCCTCACCCCCAATCTGCTTTTTAAAGGCATAGGCAATTCAATTATGTGCTTTCTGAGTCTGTCCCCAGTCCATAAGCTGAAATTGCCCAAGTTATCACCAACTGAGAAAGGCCACACGTTGCCCATTCCCAGGCAGGCAGGTGGCAGATAAATCTTTGTAATGTGAAAACACCACCTCATCAGTATTGCTTAAGTTTCTTCTAAGGCCAGCGCAGTGGCTCACGCCTATAATCCCAGCACTTTGGGAGGCCGAGGTGAGAGGATTGATTGCCTGAGCCTGCAGGTTCGAGACCAGCCTGGGCAACTTGGCGAGACCTCATCTCTACAATAAATCAAAAAATTAGTCGGGCCTGGTAGTGCATGCCTGTAATTTCAGCTACTTGGAAGGCTGAGGAGGAAAGATAGCCTGAGCCCAGCAGGAAGAGGCTGCGAGGGCCGTGAGCATGCCACTACCCTATAGCCTGGGTGACAGAGTGAAATTCCAACTAAAAAAAAAAAAGAGCCTGGCTCGGTGGCTCAGCCTGTGATCCCGCGCCTTTGGGAGGTTAAGGTGAGTGGATTGCCTGAGCCCGTGGGTTCGAGACCTGCCTGGGCAGCGAGACCTCATCTCTACAATAAATTTTTTAAAAAATCAGCCAGGCGTGGTAGCGCATGCCTGTAATTCCAGCTACTTGGAAGGCTGAGGCGGAAGAATCGCCGGAGCCCAGCAGGTTGAGGCTGCAGTGGCCGGGAGCGGCCACTGCACTCCAGTCTGGGCAACAGTGAGACTCCAACTCAAAAAAAAAAAAAGAATCTTCTAGAGTTCCCACTTGCCTATGAGATCCATTGAAATGCCAAAGCATGGCTTCCAAGGCACTGCTGGGTAAGCTTCTGGTCTGTGAGCTCATCCCTGTCCTCTATGACTATTCTGAAGCTCCTGGAAGCAGCAACATTTGTTTCCACCCTCAAGCCTTTTCCCGTGGGGTTCCCTTTACTGAAAGTGTTGTTCCAGCACGGCCCCCAAACCTGGCCAATTTCTATGAAAACGTGAAGCACATTTTACAGAAGCCAGATCCTTGGGTAGGACTTGTTCCTGTCTGGAGCTGCTGCCCCTGACATTTAAGGCAGGTCTGCCCAGAGTAGAACAGCCCAGGCCACAGGGAGAAAACAGCCAACTGTGTTTTTACAGGCTTGCACACGCGCGTGTGAGCTGACTTACAAGACTCCTTGGAACTGCCAGAGGAGACTTCAGGCAGCCAAAGCCGGCTTATCCCGCTCTGGGCCTGAACCAGCAGGTATGTCCTTAATTAGAGGCAATGTGCTCCCAGGCTTCCTGGGATGCGTCACCTGCCCAGGGCAAGTCAGTGGTTACCTGGTTCAATCCTAAAGCTGCCAGTCACCAACAGGTGACCTTGGGTAAATTTTTTAACCTTGAGAAATCTCCATTTGCTCGTTTGTGAAATGAGAGTAATAAAAGTTACTGCACAGGGCCGTGATGAGGCCTAAAAACGTAATCATGCATATAAAGCACCCAGACGGTGGTCAATGTGTAGTAATCATTGGTACCTACAATCTACACTGTCCTTGTCTTTCTACCAGGAAATGATGCTATTTCATCAACTAGTGGAATTAAATTTAATTATCAAATTAGCCTGGGTGGGAGATGATCAGCCACAGCCCCTGCTCTCTGGGTCCACTTTGTCTGGGTCACAGTACCCTCTCCAATGGGCCTGGGATGAGTCAGCCCATCCACTTGGCTTGTCCTCATGTCCACCAGCTTCTCTTGCCCTGACAAGCACAGCAGCCTCCAGACTGGTCTCTTGGTTTCCACTGGGGGCTCCCTATCCCCATCCCTCACTCCCATCAGTCTGTTCTCCCTATAGCCTGTGACTGTCTTAAATTTAAAAAAAAGAAAAGGAAAAAAAAACTCCAACAAGCTGATTATTTTACTTGCTGCTACCAACCCTCAACAACACTCCCTGTTCCTCAGGGAGAGGTATTTTCAGAGACCATGAAATTAGAATCCAAACCTCCTTCTTACTGCTGGTCACTGCAGTCCGCAAGGACCTTGCATGCCCCCTGGTTCTGGCAGACCTCTGTAGCTCTCTGTATCCCAGGGCCTTTGCACTTGATACTCACACTACCTGGAACATCACTTCCTTTGGGAAGACTTTCTCTGCCTCTCAGAATAGAAGAGGCCACTATCATGGGACTCAGCTTTCTAGTTCCTTCTATCCAGGGCTCCTTGATTGTGTAATGATTTGATAAGGATCTGTCCCTCCAGCTAGACAGCCAACAAGGGCAGGAATGATGTTTGTCTTGCTTACCGTTGTGAGCACAGCGCAGAGCCTGGAACACAGGAGGACCTCAAGAAATGTGTGTTGAGGCAAGCGCAGTGGCTCACGCCTGTAATCCCAGCACTTTGTGAGGCTGAGGTGAGAGGACTACCCGAGGCCAGGAGTTTGAGACCAGCCTGGGCAACACAGCAAGAACTCGTCTCTACAAAAAGTAAAAAAAATATTAGCCAGATGTGGTGGTGTGCACCTGTAGTCCCAGC